CAGGGGAAGACAGTGGGAGACAGAAGTTAGGAAACAGTTGAACATGTTTCCCGCAGTGATGTGAAAAGTGGGAAGAATTGGAGAGATCTAGAGAGTCCATTCTAGGTGGCAGGAGCTGCAGAGGAGAATTCTCCCATACCAATCTTGGTCTGATGATGGCAAAGGAAAGAAAAGCCAACCCCAAGCCAGACAAATAGACTATGCAGGGTTGGAATAAAGGAGTCTCAGGAGCAAATCCTGGCATAACTGAATACAGCTCTTCTGAAGTCAGGTGAATTTACACCAATGCTGATTTGGCCCAAAGTCTGAGATTTAAATTACCAGTGACAGACAGACACCTCTATTGTATACCTAATTTCTGTAAAACAAATATATTTCCCTTCACACAGCCGATTTTTGGTGAAGAAATCTACCAGCCCCCTTGTAGCACTGGGCCATGAGACTTATGTGATGATGGGTCTGTTTTTAGTTCCTGAATTATCCCCATTAATCACAAGTCTATTTGAAACAGCTGCTATAAAAGGCCCCATACAACTGTATAGCGGAAAAATTCCAACTGCTTGTATGTTAACATTACACGATTTCAACATTTGTTTTATATTAATTTTCTGTCGAACAGTCCATCCATTTGAGTTGCAGCAAAGAAGGATTTGAGGAGCTGTCTGCAATTGGAGAAAAGACCCTTACAAAATTCAGAGTGACCATAGTCATTCACCAGAACTCTAAATTTAATACAGCACCTCTGAAGTTAGGGAAATTATCATTATGATGAGGGAAATTTGCTTTGGTGGATTCAGGACATATTATCGTGAAATCTTTGGAGGTTTGGATAAGGGTAAGATAAGTATCTGGAAGATTGGATGTGTATGCTAAGCTTTTCCAAATGATCTGAACTGATTGTAGAACACAGCTGTAGGTGAAAGTATCCATGTCAGTACTGCATACTTATAATTATACAGGAAATATTGAAAGAAGATCCTTTCCGGGGTGTTATTCCAGCACTTTGCTGTCTAGTCCTGACTGACCAGGAAGTTTGGAGATTATATGAAAATGAAAGTTAATGGCACAGTAATTAGCTAGGGATGGAACTGGAATACAATGTTCAGATATGGGTCCCAACCCAAACTTCCCCAAAACGTGTGAGGATGGATTTGGGTTTTGGTTCTCTCCATGACACAGAGAGTCAGTCCAAAAGTGGAAATACAAAACAGCCTGGGGTGGTTTTAGATCTGGGTTTTGGCTTGAGTCCATCTCCAACATCCAGTAGTTTCTGTCCTTGTATGGCAAGCACAAATTTATCTTGAAACTTTGGTGGGAACTTCCTAGTACTGGGCACTTGGAATAAGCAGAAGTTTTCCATTGTTCTGCTCTGGCATTATGGAAATGTGTGTAATATGTTCCCAGAAGGACATCTCTAATGACACATCAGCTCATTAATGCGGGAGTAACATGTGAATCCCGTCTGTGCTCTGAACCTTAATTTTTTTCCAAGGCATCTTTGAAATCCAGGCATATAAAAACCAAGCCCCACACGTTGTGCATGGAACAGTTCAGATGATGTCAATACCTTTACTGTGCTTTCTATTACTGTCAAGTTGTTTTGGTGCCCCAAGTAATTTTAAGAGCCCATAACACTGCTGTCATAAATTTGTAAAAAGTCTAATTAAAATACATTCATAATTGGGGGGGGGATGTGAAAAAATAATCTGTTTCTTCTCCTGAAGGAGCACTGTTCTTTGCTAGTTCAACTTCTCCCCAAAGGGGAAGTCCAAAAGCAGTTATTGACTCATTTTCAAACCAGTTTTCCCAACAACAGTCCAGGATTCCCAGTTATCCATTTTATCTACAGTGCCTACTAGGGATGTAAAATCCTATTTAATTAGTTGACCAGTTAACAGAATAAACAGAGGCATGTGGGGGGAGGAGTTGGGGGGCTGCTCTAGCTCGGCTGTTTCCAGCCTCTTACAGGACTGTTAGCTCCCAGTCCAAGTGAGCTGGGAGCCGGCAGCCCTATGCAGGGGCCTGGTGGTGCTGGAGCAGCCCCTTGCCCACGGGGGCTGCTCCACAGGTACCGGTTAACCATTACTTGGTAAGCATCACCCGGTGATGTTTACTGACTAGTGGTTAACGGGTGCCTACCTGCTAGTCTCATTTTCCCATCTTTGAAATTTTTGGTCTGATTAATATTTTTACAGATTTCCACAACAGCCTATGGTTTCTGGATTTTAAAGCTGAGCTAAACACGGTAATAGAATCTAAAAAGCAGAGCGGTGTACTTTATTTCCTGTTTTTATCACTCTTGGGTAGTAGACCATGATGCTTTATGCTATGGCAGAGTCTAATATACCCATTTAAATTCTTTATTGGGCCAGTCACCCTCTATGGCATGTCCATGCACATAGCAATTTGCCACATGATCGGCTTCATACAATGCACTATAGTAGGTTTGAACCAAGTAGTGAATAACTAATCTACCGGCAGAACTTTCACACAATAGACTGGCTGGCTTTGGAGGCAGCTTTCTGACTAAGGTGTCATTTAAGTCAGGCTGAGGTTGTGGAGGAGTCTGAAAATTGGAAGCAAGAAATGCCTGCTGTGTGGATAAAGGCAAGCCTGGAACCAGATCAAACCACCTGTCCTAAACTGTGGAGGGAGAGCATCTGATTCAGCGTTCATGAGTGGCTCTTCTTTCTGTAATAGGCTGAATCCAAATCCAGTATTCAAGCACCTTCCAACCTTTCATGGGATGGATCTCAAATCCCAGATCTGAATTTAGTACCTGTGACCATCCCCTAGAAATACATGATCACATTCTGTGTAAAACCAAGAAAGTCCTGGTTTATCCTAGCAAGGCCAGCTTTAGGAGCTTCTAATTTATAGCGGTCCCAAGTCCAAATCACATAGTGATGCAAATAGGTGACATTTGCGTGTTCAACATCAGTATCATCCTCTTGCATGATGACTATGAATCCCCCCTTTCACCAAAGCCATCTCCATGTCTTCTGATCTTCACATCTCTGATCAAGCCCTACTGCTTTTCCCAAACCCTAAAGCACTGTCCCCATGCACAGCCACTTCCCCATGCACAGCACGCACTTCCTCTGTGTGCCTTTGAGACTACTAACATGTTACCCCATTCAGAAGGAATGTTGCAGAAAGGTGTTAAACTTCCACAGCACCAAGTAAACTTTCCACCCTCATTAGAAACGTCGCCCCTGGAAAATTAAATATAGGAACCATGGCACAGATGGTGTGTGCCCACCTACACCCATACTGTAGTGTCTTCTCATCAGCTGCATTAAATGTAGCAGAATCAAAACTGTCATTAAACTAATTGCTTTAGCAATTATAAGGCATTTGGAATAGAAGACTCACCAAGACTTAATTAAGAAGCAGATTGAACAAACTCTAGCATCTTATGGTTCAGAAATGTCAAAATAATAGGCTATCTGTTGTCTTGCATAGAGTTTCAGATGGCAGGGTTGTGCGTGTGTGTGTGTGTGTGTGTGTGTGTGTGTGTGTGTGTGTGTGTGTGTGTGCGCATTCACGTACATATGTGATGCTCAGAAAAATATAGATGTGCAATAACTCTCACTTGCTTCATTTGAAAGAACTATCCCATGAACATTAGTGTGAATGGGATGTACTCCAGCAAAAAAAATTGTTAAAGAAATAGATAACAATTCTTAAACTCCATTCATCTGAAGAAGTGGGTTGTGCCCACGAAAGCTTTTGATACCATCTAAATTTTGTTAGTCTCTAAGATGCTGCAGAACTATTTGTTGTTGTTTTTTTAAGTTTTTTCTATTACAGACTAACATGGCTACCCCTCTGAAACTCTAGTGCAACTGTGTAGCTGGAGTGAGTGGATCTGAAATGTTGCTGTAAATATGTTCAGATGAACTGGGTTGTGACTAGCAGGAAGGTATTGCTATTTGTTGTAAAGACAGTGGTATAATTGTCAGTGCTCCGTTGGGGTAGGTACTATACGGCTGCACAGTGAAAGTGAGTCCTTGCCCCACAAGGTCTGTATTTGTGCTCAATGTGCTACATTATGCACGATCTGTTTTGATAATATGTTTTAAATAACACTCCATTCTAGTTCTGAGACCTACAGCCATGGCCCATTTGTGGTAATTCATGATCTTACAGCACTTCTTGGAGGAGTTAGTCAGCCTGATTTAAGCCACCTACCTAAAATTCCCCCCATGTAACTTTAATGATATCCTTCTTCACCGCCTGTCCTAAACAGATGTGTTGTGTACGGTAGCCCAGCACTGTTACTGTGAAATGCTGAACACCTTCAGCGCCTAAGAATCCAGTGGGAGTTGAGGGCGCTGAGTTCTTTCCAGGCATTTCTCAGCACCTGGCATGGATCAGCCCCTTGAATGGCAGGCACTTCGAACTCCAGACATGTCGGGGACCCTGAAGGTTGAAATCACTATGTTATCTGGTGCATCTGAGCAGACCCTGTCTTAAAGGTCCATGCAGTTCAAAGGATTTACTTTAATCAATTCCTGGTTACCCACTTCTTTCCTTTTCTTTCCTCAGGAGACAGTCGGGGAACCCTTCTTCCTGTTGCTCTGTGCTATCAAACAGCAGATCAACAAGGGCTCCATTGATGCCATCACAGGAAAAGCCAGGTATACGCTCAATGAAGAATGGCTGCTGAGAGAGAACATTGAGGCAAAGCCCAGGGTAAGTGGAGAGGCTGTTTAAAAAAAGATAGATGTGCAACTCTACTTGCAAAGTACGTGTATAATGGCGCACCTAGCTTGCAAGTCATTCCTTTGAGCAGACTGATCAGATTACTGGTCACGTCAATGATTCGCCTCCTCTGCAAATGCTTTCTACATGTTTGCATGTGTAATTGTGATAATAGTGTATGTTAGACTTAAAGGGATGCAGGCATTTTTCATGTGCAGTGTTTCCCGATTGTTTCAAAAGCAGACATGTAACAACTTAGACAAGGAATATAATGAATCTGGCTTTTGCAGTCTATCTGATTGGCCCAGATCAGGGTTGATGCTAAATAGATAGATATTATTCTCTGGCAATCAAAGTGTTAAAGGCAAAGAGTGTCTTGTCTTTACCTTTTCTGGCAAATCAATGATTTCAGTGCCAATGAGAAGTTGCTAGCTGAAAAGTTGGTGGTCTGGTGAGAAGGCTTTTGTACAGGATAGTACAGGCAGTCCCCGGGTTACATCAGATCCCTACTTACAAACGGGGTAAGGCAACCCCGCACTAGCTGCTTCCCCCCAGTAGACCAGGGAGACGCGAAGCTAGCACCCTCCCTCCCCAGCAGACCAGGGAGACGCGGAGCGGCTTTTCTCAGCAGACACCTCAGCTTGAGAATAAAAGACTGAGGGAAGTGAGGTGTGGGAGAATAAAACTGAGTGCTGGAGAAATGTTTGGCTAGAGTTTCCCCTATAGTATGTACCAGTTCTGACTTACATACAAATTCAACTTAAGAACAAACCTACAGTCCCTATCTTGTACGTAACCCGGGGACTGCCTATATAGGA